TGGGTACGAGGGCAGGCGCGAAATCGGCTACGAAGTCTGCCAAAATTTGAGACTTGATAGCTGTTCGAGGTTGATATTCCATATCATATCCTCCGAGTTTGATGGCCCATTTGGCCAATCTGCCCGATAATTCGGGCTTATGCAAGACATTTCGAAGTGGGTATGTAGTCAGCACACATATAAGATGGCTTTGAAAATATGGTTTTAATTTCCTAGATGCGCTTATTAATGCAAGAGCTAACTTTTCCAAATGTGGATACCTGGTTTCAGCATCTCCAAGGGTCCGACTCACATAATAGACATGAAATTATGTACCTTGCTCTTCTCGAACCAACACGCCACTTACCGCCACCTCGGACACGGCTAAATACAAGTAGAGTGTTTCACCCTCCTTCGGAGCATGGAGTAGGGGTGGGCTCGAGAGATACCGTTTGAACTCTTCCAAGGCTTGTTGGCACTCCGGAGTCCATGCGAAGCTGTTCTTCTTCTTGAGTAGGGAAAAGAAATGGTGGCTCCGATCTGATGACCTCGAGATAAATTGGCCTAGGGCAGCTATCTATCCGGTTAGCCGTTGCATGACTTTCACATTGTTCACTACGGTGATTTTCTCGATGGCTTTGATTTTATCGGGGTTGATCTCGATACCTGTGTTTGATACCATGAAACCCAAAAACTTGCTTGAGCCGACTCCAAAAGCGCATTTCTCGGGGTTGCGCTTCATGTTGTACTCTTTTAGGATGTTGAATGTTACCTGCAAATGGGTCAAATGGTCCTCTGCGCGCAGGGACTTAACTAGCATGTCATCAATGTAAACTTCCATGGATTTGCCTATCTGATGTGCGAACATCTTATTAACTAGGCGTTGATATGTGGCCCCTACATTCTTTAGCCCGAAGGACATTACATTGTAGCAATATGTACCATACTTCGTGATGAACGAAGTCTTTTCCCGATCCTCCGGGTTCATTTGAATCTGATTGTACCCGGAGTAGGCGTCGAGAAAGGTAAGGATCTCGTGGCCAGCCGTAGCATCGATTAATCGATCGATGTTGGGCAATGGGAAAGAATCTTTAGGGCATGCCTTGTTCAAATCCTTATAGTCTACACACATTCTAAGTTTATTCCCCTTTTTAGGGACTATCACTACATTAGCTAGCCATTTAGGATATTTTACTTCCCTGATGGATCCTATTTTGAGAAGTTTGGTTACCTCTTCCTTGATGAATGCATGCCTCAGACTGAGGTCTCCTCTTTTGCTTCACCGGTTTAAATCTGGGATCGACACTTAGTCGATGGGTAGTTATCTCCGGTGGAATCCCTGTCATATCTAAATGGGACCAAGCGAAGCAATCAATATTATTGATGAGAAATTGAATGAGTTTTTTCCTGAGTTCGGGGCTTAACCCCGTCCCCACGTATACCTTTTGTTCCGGAAGATGCTCGACCAATATCACCTGTTCGAGTTCTTCAATCGTGGATTTCGTTGCATCTGATTCTTCGAAGGCGACAAAAGTTCGAGGGGTGAGGAAATCTTCTTCTTCGTTCTCGGCCACCTGTTCATCGGACATTTGTCCCTCGGGCTCAACCGAGGGCACGAGCTGTGATTGCTATTTGGTTACCCGTTCGTCCTTCGATTTTTCCGATGTGGATGGAGTCGACACTGGTGCTGAGTCGTGCACTGCAAACATTTCCTTGGCTGCATGCTGCTCTCCATATACTGTTTTCACGCCATCCTTCGTCGGGAACTTCATCATTTGGTGGAGAATCGATGGTACCGCCCTCATGCTATGGATCCACGACCTTCCGAGCAAAGCATTATATCTCATGTCACCTTCAATGACATGAAATTGGTGTCTCGTATGGTTCCGGCCACGTTGACTAGGAGGATGATTTCTCCCTTCGTTGTTTCACTTGCCATGTTAAAGCCATTCAAGACCCGAGACGCCGATACGATTTGATCGAGCAGCCCGAGCTGCTCCACGACCCTGGACCTGATTATATTCGCCGAACTACCTGGATCCACGAGAACACGTATAACTTGAACTTTATTTGAAAGGATAGAAATTACCAGTGCATCATTGTGAGGTTGAGATAAAGCCTCGATGTCTTCTTCGCTGAATGTGAGGGTGTCCTCGGGCAAGTAATCCCGAGTCCGCTTTTCCCTTGTAATGGATACTTTGGTACGTTTGTATACCGTCCCTATGGGACATTGACTCCACCAATGATCATGTGAATGACATGTTGGGGTTCTTCAGGTTCATTCTCTCTGCCTGTATCCCTCTCCCTGAAGCGATTCTTAGCCCGACCACTTAGGAATTCTCGAAGGTGGCTCTCATTGAATAACCTAGCTATTTCCTCCCTCAGCTGCCTGCAATCCTCCGTTCTATGACCGTGCGTGCCTTGATACTTGCACATCAAGTCCGGGTTCCTTTGGGAGGGATCAGTCTGTATCGGCCTGGGCCACTTAGTATCTTTGATTCTCCCAATAGCCGAGACGATCCCCGATGCATCTATACTGAAATTGTATTATGATAATCTAGGGACCTCGGTGGGGTCGACGTGTTTGTTAAACCCGCTCTGGCTCNTCCTTATCGAACCCGCTCTTGCTCATGAGCCTCATGAACCTTATCCTCAGTTACTTCTTCGATCGCTCCGAGAGGTGTTGTGACTCGAGCCGTTGTTTCTTCGATCATATGGTTGATACCGTTCTTTGTTGAATCTTGATCCCCGGTCTGTGTCCCTTGGGGGATTGGCTGCGAATCGGTTAGGGGGAACTGAGCCCGAGGGGGCTCCCAACTGGTCGTCTTCGACCCTAATTTTCGACTGATACCGATTGTGCACATCCGACCATGTTACAACTAGATATTCGATCAAGTTCTGCTTTAGCTGTCGAGATGCTATCAAACTTCTTTCATTCAAACCTTGCATAAAGTCTTGAACTGCCCAGTCATCGCAGACCGGTGGTAATTCCATCCTTTCCATCTGAAACCGGGACACGAACTCCCGTAGCATCTCGTCATCCCTTTGTTTTATTTTGAAGACGTCCGATTTTCTTGTGGCCACCTTTATGGCCCCGGCGTGTGCTTTTACGAAGGCATCCGCCAACATAGCAAATGAATCAATTGAGTTAGGAGCTAAGTTGTGATACCAGATCATAGCTCCTTTTGACAGTGTTTCTCAAAACTTTTTCAATAATACTGACTCGATTTCGTCATCATTCAAGTCATTTCCTTTGATCCCACAAGTGTACGAAGTAATATGTTTGTTAGGGTCTGTTGTCCCGTTGTTCTTTGGTATATCGGGCATGCGAAACTTCTTGGGAATGGGCATCAGAGCCGCACTTGAGGGGAAATGTTTTTGTATGAACTTTGGCATCTAGACCCTTCAAAACTAGAGGTGCTCCCGGTATTTGGTCCACCCGGGAGTTGTAAGTTTCCACCTTTTTATCGTTGTCTTCTATCGTCTTTTCTCCTGACTCGATTTTTTTAGTAAGTTCCTCGAGCATTTTCATGATTGTGGGGTCATTCCCTGAGCTGCTTTCATCGGGCCTTTCAAGCACTGGTTCGTGCTGTGCGTTTGCTGGTTCAGCGGTGTTAGGAGTTCTGTTCTGACTTTGGAGTTGAGCGATGGTGACTTACTGAGCTTGTAACATCTCGAATATCACCTGGAGGCTGACTCCTCCTTTTTCCAGTCCTCGTGTTTCCTGGCCTTCGGCCTGGGCTTCCCTTCGTCCATTCCTTATGGGGTCTGTGTCTGCTTCCGTGTTTAGAGCGTTGTGGGAGCTACTATCAACTGGCTCCACATTTGGCATCCCTCAGGGTTTACGGGTGGTACACCGAGCCCTATGCCGCTGTTTTCCCCTAGACCTTCGTCCTCGTGAATGGGTGCATTCTGTGTGCTAGACATGATTAATCCCGAAATCAAAGAATCTTTGACAAGAAAAAGTGTGAAGAATGACGTGTGTTATCAGAAAACTAGCACTAAAATAATCACTATTATCTTTAGCCCCACGGTGGGCGTCAAACTGTTTACCTCGAAAAATGTGAGTAACAATTAAAGATATTTAGTGGTTTTAAAGATACGTGATATATTCTAATACTAGTGATTATACAAGTGATATTGAGCTTATGTAAGAAGAAATAATAAACCAAATCAATGTTGTTGAATCAGTAGGGGCCTCGAGGTGAGCTAAGACCAATAAAGTATGAACAATAAAGTAAACACAATAAAACTGAAGAGTAATCACCGAGCACGTTAAACAAGAGAAGAATAAGAATGTTATATTGCTGTAAAATAATCTGATGTCTTTATAAAATGATTGGGTCCCCTTTATATAGGAGGAGAATACCTCACTATAGTACCTTGCTCATAAAGGTAAAGAATTTTATTGGTACAGGTGTATAACGGCCTAGTACGGACCTGTACCATTTCGTACAACCCTTATCCTATAATTAATGTCCAGGTCCACGTGTCCTTGAGAAATTCCCGCTCTTTCTTGATTGACTTCGAGATTATGATGTCCTCGATGTAGGCCCTGCCAGGCCTTTGATCAGCTTACTCAAGGTAGGTGTCCCTTAGCCGGATCTGACCCCCCACTTCGAGTCTCCCGGGACCGATCCTATAGCCCGATTTAAGACTTCGAAAATCACGCTCCTCGATTTTGACCGCATATAGCAGGGTAACGCTGCGTACAATAGACTCTTGTGGTCCGGCCTTTTCCCCGGACCCCGCTCTTAGCAGGAGCTTAGTGCATCAGGCTGCCCTTTAATGTAATTACTCTTGAAAACTGATGGTTCCACCTATATAACACTCGGATGCTGGTATGCTGCTCTTTTGAGAAGTCTCCAAAATTTGTGAATCTACTAATATTTAGTCTCTAATGGTAGGTGTATTATACACATATGCACTTCAAATTTTAAGTTTCTGGAACCTTGTTTACTAAGTGTGCTTCTGATATTATAGAACTTGGGCTGACTTGTTGTCTGGTGAATATTCTCCAGGTAGAGGTGGAGTTTGACAATGGTAGTCTGTACAATTTGTCAGCAGAGTATTTGAGAATATATAGTCCAGCCGTCGATAGTAAGATCAGATCAGTTGGTGGTGATAAGGTAATTAGATACAAATTTCTTTCTTTTTTGTTGGTTTGAACATGTAGTTTTTACCAGGCTTAGATGATTTATAAGTACTGCTGCTGTTCCACATTGGAGAGTTCATCATCCTGGTCTTTTTTAATGGACCATTCTTATAAGTGTTAACAGTGCTCAATGAAGCTACGCGAGCTACTATTCAGTTACCAAGCATCAATTTCTTGATGTAGCTTTATTAAGTATTTGAAGACCTCTTATTATACTCAAATTTCTCCTTTTTTATGCTCTTGGGATCAGGTCATATCTGGGAGGCGACATGTGGGAATCATGTCTGCTGAACCTATTGGAAATTATGGGGTGAGGTAATAATAGCACATAACTTTGTTTTCAATATGGAGTTTCATTTGATAATTGTTTGTCATATCTTCCATGTGGTTCAATATAGGTTATTGTTTGATGACTTGCATAAGACTGGCATCTTCACGTGGGACTACCTCTACCATCTTGGGAGCAAGAAGTTCACTCTCATGAGAAATTACGTCAAAACTCTAAAGAAACATGGACTGAGCCGGGAACCTCCCAGAAGAAAGTGAGTTTTGAATCAACCCATGAATATACTAATCTTATACGTCGATGATGGTTAGAAGACAATAGAATTGCACTGCTTATGGTTAGAGGACAATCTTCTCACGCAAAGTGGTAGGACAATGACCAGCCTCTTAAAGTAGGCTGTGGTAAGGCATGGCGATGACTAGTTCTTCATATATTGTCATTTGTGCAGTCAAGTTTGTGGCATATTTTAAGCAATGAAATTCTGGTATTTCAAAAGAAACTACTTTGCAAAAAGTTGAATTGCATTGCAGTTGAAAAAAGGATCAATGGAACTTGGAAAAATTAATGACATTCGTGGTTTCTTAATCATTCCCTGTAGAGACGCCAAAATGTTCATTCCATTGCATGAGGTTTGGATCTTTGGTTTGTTTACTATTATTGTAACCGTTGCGATTAGGCAATAAAGGACTGGAAAAGAAGCAAGGATTACAAGTGAAAGAGAACTACTTCACAGTGGCAGGTTAAACAACTACGCTGAACTGCTGACACAGCATGCAAATCTTAGATCTCTGTAACATGTCGAAAAGCCATGGTATCTCAAGAAAGGTTCCAGAAGCAGCTGTGGTCAAGTTTATGTATGGCAGAGAGGAAATTTTGCTATTCTACTTTAAGTAGTTTGATCTTTGCAGTTGAATGGATTATAAGGCCATTATCCAGCTTTCGATTTGCTTAAGAATATCATGATCCGTTGAAGATCTTTAGCTTTAAACAATTATGAAAGAAAAGTCTAGGGGTGTCGATGTTACAAAGACAAGCTTGACGGGACGGTAGAGAAAAAAAACATGGCAAGGAATATCCTCCTTTTTTGGTCATTCTTTTGTTTCCAAATATGCCATAACTTCTGAAAACTATAACTAAGAAAAGGGGACTAGAAAAAGATTCGAGATCGAATTTGGTTATTGATACTCTCATTTTGTTGCCTCTGTTTTACTTCTTGTACACAATTTTTTTTAAGAAGCCTCCCCATCCAGCAATTTAACAGCCAGTATTTTTTTAATTCAAAGCGAAGTAATACGGCAGAAGCTTGATATATGCTTTCTTCCTTTTCTATTTTCTTTTTCCTTTTTTTTTTCATAAACAGAACGTATGCTTAAATATTACTAGTATTTGTAATGATGTAGAACATTGACCAGCAAATGGCTGAACTGTCTCGATTTATGAAAGCACAAAATTAGAATGTTGTTAGCATGTGAAGGAATAGCATTTTAACTGTAGCAATTGATAATTATGGCCTTTGCTTGGGTCCAGCTCTTTGATATTGCTCTTTCACTCTTGGTAAATTTCAAATGGTATCCTAAGGCCTAAGCTAAGCAGCTAACAGCTGGTGGTTCAGCCCTATTGCGAGTGACATGAAAATCTCCTGCCTAATTTCTCAAATAAAATTTTTATGTAAAGAAGCACGTTTTGGGAAACAAAAAATAAACACTAATGAGACACAAAATTGGTGTTTTTGATACACAAACGGTGATCCCATGTCAAATCACTTGCAAGAAAATGTTTGAAAATTTTCTTGGAGGAGTACTCAAAGCATCACCTTACATTTTCTTCTACTTGCTCTATCGTACGAATAGAGCGTCGCTCCTTTAAGATGATGATTAAAAATCTACCTAAACCATGAAGCATTGTTACTCCTTCGCTAAGTACTATATTTGGATTATCTACAAATGATCCAAAATATATATTCGTTAAGATGTAACATTCAGAGAAGCAAATTGTGGGACAACATTAATCGGAAAATCATCTGTCACTTGCAGTTTCTCAAAACAGTCGAACACTTTGAAGTATGATCAAGTTCAAAAGTTGGGCCCTACGTCTTCAGCTGAAAAAAGACCTAAGCTTTCTGACTTGGTCAAGCAAGCACAACTTCTTTTTTCCTCGACTTTTTCTTTCCCTACCCTACCAGCTAGCAGGGTCCCCTACCTTTAAACAACGTTCCTTTTTACACTTTTTTTTTCTATTTGAATTTCAAATTTAAATGCTTAGATCCATACAGAGAGTAAACAGAAATTACACGCCAATAAAAAATTTAAGGGAGAAAAACAAAAACGGCAGTACAATAATCCTAGTAATTTTTTCTGGTAACATTCTGGTACTGTTCCAGGTTTCCTAAGTTTGTTTTGTAGCTTGTCGTCTTAGAATGGGAGATTCAGCTTGTCTTATGCATGCCTTCTCTTACGCTTCTGCCATACCCAATGAAGCTAAACAGGTACTTTTCCTCTGCTTCTTTCAATACTTAAAAACACACACACACACACACAGTTTCTTGCTTTCTTCATAGCTTTCCTTTGAAAGGTTCTTCTTTGTTGTAAATACAGGGGAACCGGATGCATGCTCTAGGGGAGTCCATTTCTTTTGGGAGATTTACGAATGAATCATTGGCATGGGAAAAATGGTCGACGTTCTCTCACAAACGCTACGTGGAGGAAGCAGAGAGGTATGCACAACCAGGTTCTGTTGCCCAAAAGAAAGCTTTCTTTGAAGCTCATTTCAAGAGAATTGCTGCCCAAAAGGCTGCTGCTGCTGCTGCTTTGCTTGAACAATCCAATACTACTCCCTCCTCTAACACTACTAAACAAGACCTCGATGCAGAAATTACACCAAATACTTTAATAGCAGAAAATGCTGCTCCATTGCAGGGTCCTTTAACTCCTGTTGCTCCAGAGAAAGAACTAACAAATGGTATCATGCGTGAGAACAAAGAAACAATTTCGGGATCAGAGCTTAGTGAAACGTCTCATACGGATAAACCTTTGCTCAAGGCGAAGGTAAATATGAATTACAAATCTCTCTGTGTTGTTTTCACTTGAATTAATGTAGTTTCTTGTATTTTTATAAGTTTATGTACCTATTGACCTGACTAATCCAAATTCACACTGCATCGAGCTCATTAAAGAGGCAAGCGCTCCCTACCCGGAGTTTCTCTATTCTCATGGCTCTCGAGTTTTAGCCCTCTAATTAAGGGTGGAGGGATCTTATCCATCCCACCACACCCCTTATAAGTGGTGTTGTTGTTACATTTATATGTGTAAAGACTCGAAACTTGCGTAGTTTGGTTACTAACTTGTTTGTGTGATCAGATGTTGAGAATCTCTAGTTTTACAGAAGCTTAATTTGCCTTACAAGTGACAAATTATTTACTTAGTACTTACTTGAATGAAATGGCTTCTAATAGGGAGGAAAGATATATAATATTCATCTAGACGACTCCAACAAAGTTGAGATTGAGACTTAGTTGATTAATGGATGGATTGATTAAAATTGACTGATTGATCTATATGCTAGTAGTATATGGAAACTGATTTTCATCATTGATTCAGCAGAGTTCCAGCTCTAAGCAAGACGATGATGATGTTACATGTGTTACGAGCAAGAAAAGATCAGCTTTTTCATCATTCAAATCATCCGTTCACTCAATAAAAACCAAATTCCCATCTTCACCATCTAGGCATAACATTCCTCCTCATGTCAATAAAGAAAACAATTTCACTCCATTCACAGATAATCAAACATCAGTCTTGAAGAATGAAAAGAGATCAACCTCAAATTCCTTAAGCAAATTGATGAATTTCACCCCGGCCAAAGAGCCAGATAAGGTGCCTCCTCCCCTTCCTTCCACCCTCAAGAAGGAAAGTTCAAAGGTTGTTCCCAATGCCGTTAAGAAGTGTGCAACTCCTCTCAGGACTCCTGTGGTACTCACTTTCATCTGTTTATTTATCTCTCATTTACTACTAATCCTGGTAATGATTGGATTTAAGTTATATAAACTGACAATGTAATTTTTTTTTAACATTACTTGTGTAGTTTAACTTGTGATAGCATCTAAAGGAGTACTATCTTTATCAGGTTTACAATTAATGTTTTATCAAAGAGATTTACCTATAAATTGCCTTATAAGTGACTTGATTATGCAAGAATAAACTTAATCTCAAATTTTACCGGAATTGTTTAAGATTTCTTCGTGTTTCACCTGCAGACAACTTCAGACGGTGCATCGGAACGTCCCATGACAACCCCATCTTCAGAAAATAGAAGGTATATAATTACCATATTAAGACAGTATGAGCTTTCTGGCTACAAAAACATTCCATGAAATTCATGCTGTTTTTCTAATTTCAAATTTACAGGATGACAACACCAATACATCCAACAGCTTCAGGAAGTCAAACAGCCGGTCCTAAATGGAATATTTTATCAGCTGTGTAAGTATCTTTGAAATAATAAGCTTGGGTTTAAGGACAGTAGATAACTATATGTAGATTAAATAAGACGACAAATCTTGGTAGAAGGGCGTTGAATTGACATGTTAAAACCGCTAATAGAAAATTCCAGTAATCATAGACACACATTACCATTATAGGATTCCTTTCATTTTTAAATTCAAGTGGATGAAAGATATAACAACATATGTTGGTATTCAAATGATTTTCTTGGAAAGCTTTACTTCAGAAAAAAAAAAGAAAAATTATCTGAGTATTCTTTTTACTAGAAGTTTGGGTTGAAGGGCAGTTGATTCTACTGTAGTATAGTTCTATATTCAGAAAGGCAAAGTCTTGTTAATAAGCGAGTGGAAATTAAGACTACACAATCAAATGATTGTTTATCGTGCATGGGATCGATATATCAAATAAGAAATGGTGCATAAATCCATTATACACCAGGTGTGTGGAAAAAGCCTTCTATGGGCATGAATCCAAGTTGAATTATAGAGATTATAAGATTCTGTCATTTGGTTGCACCACTGAATATCTCTCACCTTAGTATTTTTGTTCAGTTGTCCCAAGTCTTTCACAGCGTGCCGTAACAAACTACAGTCACCCTCTTTATCCACTCCCTTTCTGCTGAGGACAGAAGAAAGAGCTGCAAGAAGGAAACAGGTAAGGACATGTTTTGGCATCTTCAGATCAGGATTATCTCCTTGCATTTCTTAAATCCAATCCCATCTTACGCCTATTATTTTGCTTCAGAAGCTTGAGGAGAAATTCAATGCAAAGGAGGTACAGAAAGTTCAGCTACAAACTAAATTCAAGGTTCTTCCTGAGCTTCCTTATTGGCTTGTGCAATTTTTCTTCCTTTATTGTCTTCATAACCACTTAACTCTTTAATGTGCCTTGCCATGACTTCTTCAGTTGCAAAGCAAATTAACTTGATATGAATGAATGCCCTTTTGCCTGCAGGAGAAAGCTGAAATGGAGATAAGGAAACTTCGGCAAAGCTTTTGTTTCAGAGCTCGTCCCCTGCCTAAGTTTTACAAGGAAAGAGAAACAACAAAAAATTACACAAAAAAGGTAATACCATAATCGTTTATATTATTTCCAATTCAGATATTCCTAAAAACCCACTTTTATCCCCATTGTCAAAACATGTCGTGATTCATGGTCATAATGAATTTAACTAGATCAACCAATTGTTTTCTTTTTCTAATAGTCTAAATTCTAAGCAATGAACTAATGGTCATAATCAACATTTTTCTCCACAAGTACTTTCTGAATTCATATCTTGTATAGTTCTGGTTTTATCCATGCTCTTCCCTCTGGGACAGTGGTTCATATGGTTTTTTTTGGTGCAGACTCCAGTAAAACGTTCTCAGTCACCAAAACCTGGAACAAAGCCCAGTAAAAGCACAATGGCATCGCAACCGCCTTCTACATATTCGACCAAGAAGCGATCTTACAAGAATTCAGGAAAGAAGAATAGCTCAAAACCTTTAAATTCTCAAACCTTGCCAATGGTAGTGTCTCATGATCAGAATGCATCCCCAAATATTCAACATCAATTTGGAGTCTCCCCCAATTGAATGTTCAGAGATGTATGATGTATGTCATCACATAATCTTATAGAAGCAACTCGTATGTATATCTTGTGTTAAAGCTATCTATATGCAAGGGATCCCTGTTCTTTGTTTTATGAAGAGTTGAATCCTGGTGTTTAGGCTAAGTTTTCCGGGGTGAGCCATTGTTCCATATGGTATATGCTTTTTTACATCATAAAGTAAAATTCTACAAAGTTTCAGGGTGAAGTTCAAACCAGATCAATTTAAGCATCAGAGAGAAATGCATGCCTAAAATATCAAACTTATGCTGCAGTAACTGGTCTTTCAAATTTTTCTTTTTTTCTTACACAATGTTGAATTATTTCTTTTAAGCGTGAACTGATGCAACCAGATCATATTTTTTCAATCTAGTGCCTAATCCATGTACCACCCTGGGAATCAAATCAGATGATGAGTATATATAGTCCATTGTCTGCTAGCAACTCTCTGAAGGTGTAGCACATGACAAGAAAGAATACAGGCAAAGGCCTTCGCAATTTGTAATGAAAAGGCTGCAGTGTGTTTCTCAACCGAACTGCTTCATCTTATGCTACATAAGACAAAGACGTTTATATATAACTACAGCATAGTCCTGCTTTATTATTTATCACATGAACATGCTCGAGCATGTCAAGTAACTCAAGCTATACATGATATCTGATACGAAGAAGTACTGTTTTACTTACACAGCAAAATCAATTTCAACATAAAAGAATCAAGGTACAACAATTTATTCGACAGTTAATACATTAGCCCAAGCCAAGGACTATGATCACATTTCTTCCACCAAACACCAATCTCCATCTTCTTCAATCCCTTCCCACACAGCTCCCACGTTATAAAAACTCATTCTTTCGTCATCACAGTTATCTAGCTCCTCAATTTCTACTATAACTGGCGAGCAATCAGATCAACAACCAGTTGTGGTTGCCTTTAAGCAACATTATCAGCACCATGGTAAAATTCATCATCATCAAAATCCATGTACTCACTAGCCAAATGGTCCAATATGCTAGTAGCTGATAACCCAAAAAAGGTCAAGCCAGGCCAAGAAACAATGTCACAACCCCTCAGTTTTTGCGTCCCCTTGGCCTTTCCAGCAGTGTGTATATGACAACATGTGCACTTAGACCTACCACACTTGCCTGTGAGCTTTGAATGGTTGGAGGGCTTTGTTGATACCTTTGTGAACAACCCAGCCGTGGGAGGGGAATTCAACTTGTTAACATCCCTACAAAGGCGAATCCAGAATATAGAGTCAGTGGATTCAGAATGAGTGAGATGATCTCGCTATATATCTAAATGTTTTAACAATTGTAAATATCACTCGAGCTGAAAGCAACGAGTTCAATTTGAAACCATAAATATGCCTAGATAGATCCGATTCTAAATACCTGGAGTTGGGCTTGGGGTTCCAATTGAAGCTCAAATTTTTGTGTGAGCTCTCTCTTTTACGGTAGGTCCGAACCAGACCGTGTTGGCGACCCTCTCTCTTCATCCTTGGCTATGTTAGTGTGAGCTCAGATAGTTGATTGGATTAAGAAAAGATTGAAGATAGTTATATAGAGGAGTAGAATTGGATGCATTTGGATTTGAAGGGTGACATATACTTGGGAAGCAAGGCAAGGTTTATTCATTATATTAGTCAACTTCTGCATATTGATTATTGTCTTGACATCTTGTACGTGCTTTCCAAGTCTATAAGAAATGTAAAACCGACTACACCTCAGTTAGTGCTATAAATCATTCTTTTGAACGGATCTTTCCTCTTTACTCATTAAACTAAGCTTAATAGTTGCCAAATCTCAAGAAAACTTGAGACTCATCGTAGCATAATTTACAAATTAATCAATTAACCTTACTTTTTTCTTTGGGAGCATATAGACTGTGACATTTTTGTACGGTCATTTTCTTCTATTCTTAGGTGTAGGAAATCATTTTCTCTGCAAAAGTAGATTAGGAAAAGGACGGAAGCAAGTATGGAACATTTTGTGGGCGTTTGGACATAAGAATGGTAAATTTCCGGAAAAAAGTGAAAAAAAAATTGAGGTGAAAATGGTACTTGAAAATTAGAGTTTGTATTTCGACATGAATATAATTTTGTGTTGTTTTGAATTTTTGTGACTGATTTAAGTGAAAATTTTGAAAAACGATTTTTTGAAGTTTTTTAAATTTTCGAAAATTTTTAAAATTCATCTTCAAGTGAAAATTGAAAATTGTGTAGTAAAACACTAATTTCGAAAAAAGTAATAATTTATCAAAAAAAAAAAGTAAAAATAATTTCATGCCGAGCTCTTAGTTGTTCCAAGTCTTGAAGAACTCACCCATACACGTGATAGAAATCCTCTCTAGGGACAGGGATGACTGGTTGACTAAGTCATTCCTGATGGGGTCCAGCCCCAATAAGCCATGTGCCATAATACTTGGCTATTACTCATTCTTGGGGATCAAGTTTTGGAATGTGTGGAGGAATCCTCCTCTACATGGGATGCGCGCTTAATTGAAGCGGTGTTACGCGATACAATTTCGTCGTAAAATTTTACCAAATATATATATATATATATATATATTAATACTGTGAGAAAATAGATAAATAAAAAAAAATTACATCATTTGATATAATTTGTGTCTTGACATGTTGGTTATGAGTCTAATTTTGCTCTATGAGGTCAAAGGCACAAACCTCAATTAGCACGTCCTTTTTGGCTTCAGAACCTTTAGCCTGTTTGGCCAAGCTTCTTAAGAGGCCAAAAGTATTTTTTTTTTCCAAAGCACTTTTTTTTTCCTAACTTGATGTGTTTGGCCAAACTTTTTTGGGGGAAAGAAGTACTTTTGGGAAGAAGCAGAACAAGTTTTTGAGAAACAGAAAAAAGTAGCTTCTTCCCAAAAGCAGAAGCAAAATTAGTTTTGTCTTTTCTTCTTACCTAAAATACCCTTAACAAAATATAATATATACCAAAATAACCGTTAAACCTATTACTTAGGATATTAATGTATAAGTATTTCTTCTTATTTTTAGTATAGCTTTCTAATATATAATGACATTAGGGGTGAATGCTTTTATATTTGTTGAATGAATTTTAATATATTTAACTTATATTAAAAGAATTAAGTACTTTTTAATTTTATTTTCATATTTTACTTAAATAAAATAAAATAAATTAATTATTGCTTGTATAACATATTTTTGAGATTATTTATTTACTTATAATATTAACTATTAAGTAAATCTATTCATGTCCTTATTCATATATTGTTAACTAAAAGCACTTTCTGAAAATCTTGGTCAAACACAAATTATTGCTCAGAAGAGCTTTTCAGAGTGATTATCCAAACACAAATTACTTCTCTCCAAAAGTACTTTTTTCAAAAGCACTTTTGAAAAAAGCACTTTTTTCAAAAGTATTTTTGAAAAAAGCACTTCTCAAAATAAGCTGATTTCTCTAGCTTGGCCAAACAGGCTATAAGACTACTTCTTATCTAGAAGTATGATAATTAAAGTTATTATTCCAGTTCTTCTATAAATTTTGACACCGCTTACAAAAATTTCTGCGTACGCCCCTGCTCCTCTAGAATACTTTGAGCCCACTGCTCTTTTGTCTTATAAAACTAGGGCATTCTCTCAATTGTAACCACACCACCAAAGTGAGAAAGAAAGAGTGAGGCATAACAAACAAGGTATACGAAAATAGTTTGTAAGGAAATAGAGTGTGATTGATATTGTAGTAAGTCGGGAATATTAAAAAATGGTTATTTCTTTTGAGTGTTGTAGTGGTCTTTATATTATTTTACTCGGACCTATAAAGTGTAAAATTCCTTAATTACTATAGTGATATCAGTTGCTCCTTTCGAGGTCGTAATTTTTTCTCTTATTCAGAAAGGTTTTCCACGTAAAAATCTTGATGTCGTTGTTACTCTTTTATTCTTGTTGATTACCGTATCTCGCTGATACGTTATTATTCTACTTTTTGTTACACCTTGTGTATTCGGCGTTATCATGCTGTAAATAGGATAATTCGGTAGGAAGATAATTTCTATGAGATATTTAAATGATGCGATGGTTATACGTTAAGATTGGAAGTCATTTGAGTTGTGATTAAAAATTCGACAAAGATCGCGCGCAAGTTACGGGTTTAAATTTCACTGGAATTTGGATAAAATGTTGATGACCTTTTCTCTCAATATACTGGGAGTTATGGTGTGTTCTACCTACCGAATCGAAGGTCTATGAGTCTAGTTTCCAAAGCAACAAACCGTTTGTTAATACANGGTATGTAGGGCTTTCGCTATACTTTTCGGCATGACTAGAATTCGAATAAACGTTTATCGAATTTTCTCGTCGGATTCGAGTTATTTCACCTCCAACTTATAAAGATGCTTAGACCTGATCTTTTCTCATAGATTGCTTACTCTAGAGGATATCTA